AAAAATGGGATTTGGGGGGAAAAATGGAGATTTTGGCCAAAAATGGGGGGGGAATGGGAAAACAAGGGGTTTTAGGGGAATAAGTGGGGATTTTTGGGGGGGAAATGGGAATTTTGGGGAAAAAATCGGGATTTTGGGGAAAAAATGGGGATTTTGGGGGGAAAATGGGGATTTTTGGGGGGAAATGGGGATTTTTGGGGGAAAAAATGGGGATTTTGGGGATGAAAATGGGGATTTTTTGAGGAAAAATGGGGATTTTTGGGGAAAAAATGGGGATTTTGGGGGAAAAAATTGGGGATTTTTGGGCAAACATGGGGAAAATGGGATTTTTTTGGGGGAAATGGGGATTTTGAGGAAAAAATTGGGATTTTTGGGGGGAAAAATGGGGGTTTGGGGGAGAAAATGGGGATTTTGGACAAAAACGGAGATTTGGGGGGGGAAAGGGAATTTTGGGGAGAAAAATCAGGATTTTGGGCAAAAATGGGGATTATGGGGGGAAATGGGGATTTTGGGGAGATTTTTGGGGAAGAAATGGGAAAAATGGGGATTTTGGGGGGAAAATGGGAAAAATGGGGATTTAGGGGAAAAAATGTGGGTTTGGGGTGGCAAGAAATGGGGGTTTTGGGTGAATTTTGGTATTTTTGGATGGATTTTGGCTGAATGTTGATCTTTTTGGGTAAATTTTGGTGAATTTTGGTGGTTTTGGGGTGAAATTTGTCATTTTTGGGGTAAATTTTGGATGAATTTTGTTATTTGCAGTTGAATTTTGGTGAATGGGTGATTTTTGCTATTTTTTAAAAATTTTGGGTGAATTTTGTAATTTTTGGATAAATTTTGTTATTTTTGGTTGATTTTTGGCTAAATTTTGTCCTTTTTGGGTGAATTTTGGGTGAATTTTGTCATTTTTGGGTGAATTTTGGGTGATTTTTGCTACTTTTTGGGTAAATTCTGGATGAATTCTGTTATTTTTTGCATAAATTTTGGTTTTTTTGGATAAATTTTGTTATTTTTGGTTCAATTTTTGATAAATTTTGTCATTTTTAGGTGAATTTTGGGTGATTTTTGCTGGTTTTTTTTTATAAATTTGGGGTGAATTTTGTCCTTTTTGGGGTAAATTTTGGGTGAGTTTTGCCATTTTTGGATAAATTTGGGGTGAATTTTGCCATTTTTGGGTCAATTTTGGGTGATTTTTGCTGGTTTTTTTGATAAGTTTTGTAAATTTGGGGTGAATTTTGTCCTTTTTGGGTGAATTTTGTCTTTTTGGGGTAAATTTTCTGTGACTTTTGGGGTGAATTTGGGTGATTTTTGCCATTTTTGGGCTAAATTTTGGGTAAATTTTGTCCTTTTTGGGTGAATTTTGGGTGATTTTTGGGGTAAATTTTGGGTGAATTTTCTCATTTTAGGGTGAATTAGGGTGATTTTGGCCATTTTTGGATTAATTTTCTCATTTTAGGGTGAATTTTGGGTGATTTTTGCCATTTTTGGGTGAATTTGGGTGATTTTTGGGTCAATTTGGGTGATTTGTGCCATTTTTGGGTGAATTTTGTCGTTTTTGGGTGAATTTTGTGTGATTTTTGCCATTTTTGGGTGAATTTGGGTGATTTTTGGGTGAATTTTGGGTGATTTTTGGGTGAATTTGGGTGATTTTTGGGTGAATTTGGGTGATTTTTGGGTGAATTTGGGTGAATTTGGGTGAATTTTGGGTGATTTTTGCCCTTTTTGGGTTAAATTTTGGATGAATTTTCTCATTTTTGGGTGAATTTGGGTGAATTTTGTCACTTTTCACCCCCAGGCCCCAAGGCCAAGCAGAGCTCCAGCGAGGACGAGGCCGACGGTGACAGCCGGGCCACCAGGGGCACAAAGGGGACAAAGGGGACAAAGGGCCAGCGCAGGAAGGGCCCCGACGGGGAGAGGGCAGGTGGGGACACTGGGGACACTGGGGACACTGAGGGGATTTGGGGACACTGAGGGGATTTGGGGACACTGAGGGGATTGGGGACTTTGGGACATTTGGGGGATTTGGGGACATTTGGGGACGTTGAGGGGATTTGGGGACATTTGGGCTGATTTTGGGGTAAATTTAGGGTGATTTTGGGCTGATTTTGGAGCTGATTTTTGAGGCGATTTTGGGGAGAAATTGGGGCTGATTTTGGGGTCTTTCAGGGACAATTTTTGGGGCTGATTTTGGGGGTAAATTTGGGATGTTTTAGGGGTGACTTCAGGGTTAAATTTGGAATAATTTGGGGGTAAATTTGGAATAATTTTGAGGTTAATTTAGGGGTTTTAGGGGTGATTTTGGGATAATTTTGGGGTGTTTTAGGGACAATTTTTGGGGTGGCTTTGGGGTTATTTTGGGGATCATTTGAGGATAATTTGGGCTGATTTTGGGGTGGTTTAGAGGTGATTTTGGGGTGACTTCAGGGGTAAATTTGGAGTAATTTTGGGGTAAAATTAGGGCTTTTAGGGGTGATTTTGGGATCATTTTGGGGCTGATTTTGGGGTAACTTTGGAGTGTTTTAGGGGTGATTTTGGGGTAACTTTGGGGTGTTTTAGGGACAATTTTCGGGGTGACTTTGGGGTTATTTTGGGGATCATTTGAGGATAATTTGAGCTGATTTTGGGGTGGTTTAGAGGTGATTTTGGGGTGACTTTGGGGGTAAATTTGGAATAATTTTGGGGTAAATTTAAGAGTTTTAGGGGTGATTTTGGGGCTGATTTTGGGGTAACTTTGGAGTGTTTTAGGGGTGATTTTGGGGTGACTTTGGGGGTAAATTTGGAATAATTTTGGGGTAAATTTAAGAGTTTTAGGGGTGATTTTGGGGCTGATTTTGGGGTAACTTTGAGTGTTTTACGGGTGATTTTGGGGTAACTGGGATTATTTTGAGGATAATTTTGATTTGGAATAATTTTGGGGTAAATTTAGGGTGTTTTAGGGGTGATTTTGGGATCATTTTGGGGCTGATTTTGGGGTAACTTTGGAGTGTTTTAGGGGTGATTTTGGGGTGACTTTGGGCTGATTTTTTGCCTGATTTTGAGGAGAAATTTGGGCTGATTTTGGGATAGATTTGGGGTGTTTTAGAGACAATTTTTGGGTGGCTTTAGAGTTATTTTGAGGATAATTTGGGGCTAATTTTGGGGTAACTTTGGGGTGTTTTAGGGACAGTTTTTGGGGTGACTTTGGGGTTATTTTGGGGATAATTTGAGGATAATTTGGGCTGATTTTGGGGCCGATTTTGGGGTAAATTTAGGCTGATTTTGGGGTGACTTTGGCCTTATTTTGGGATGGTTTTAGGTGATTTTGGGGTAACTTCAGAGCGATTTTGGGGAGAAATTTGGGCTGATTTTGGGGATGGTTTAGAGCTGATTTTGGGGTGACTTTGGGCCGATTTTGAGAGCAACTTTGGGATCATTTTGGGAATCATTTCAGGGTAAATTTGGGGTGATTTTGGGCCTGATTTTGGGGTAACTTCAGGCTGATTTTGGGGATAATTTCGGGGTGACTTCAAGAGAATTTTAGGCTGATTTTGGTGTTTTTTGGCACAGCCATGGCGGCCTCGGGCTACCTGAACCTGGCGGCCGACGCCGCCCACAACTTCACCGACGGGCTGGCGCTGGGGGCGGCGTTTTGGGGCGGCCCCGCCCGGGGAACGCTGACGGCGCTGTCGGTGCTGCTGCACGAGCTGCCCCACGAGCTGGGGGACATGGCCATGCTGCTGCGAGCCGGCTGCTCCAAGGGACAGGTGACAAAAATCGGGGGGAAAAATGGAAAAATCGGTAAAAAAAAAATGGGATGTTGGAGGACTGACCATAGAGTTGGGAGGTGGGATGGGCAGAGCGCCCCCTGGTGGCGGGTGGTGCCATCACCTCTATGGTCACTTCCGGTGCCGCCATTTTGGTGAGGATAGTAAAGGCCCCATGAAGGTGAGGCCCCGCCCCTTCCCAGTTCCAGTTCATCCCAGTTTTCTCTTTACTCACATTACCCCACTCCCAGTCCCGCCATGCATGGAATTTGGGCATTTGGGGCAGGAAAAAATGGGGAAAATCCAGAAAAAAAGGGGGTAAAAGGAGGAGAACCAACCATAGAGTCGGGCGGGCCAGAGCGCCCCCTAGTGATGTGCGGTGCATCCACTCTCTATGGTCATTTCCGGTGCCGCCATTTTGTCAGGGCAGAAATGGCCCTGTGAGGGTGAGGCCCCTTCCCAGTCCATACCAGTCCCTCCCTGTTCATCCCAGTCCCTCCCAGTTCATCCCAGTTCCCTCTTCACCCACATTATCTCACTCCCACTCCCTTTGTGCATGGAATTTGGGCATTTGGGGCAGGAAAAATCCGGGAAAAAAGGGGGTAAAAGGAGGAGGACCAACCATAGAGTTGGGCGAGCCAGAGCGCCCCCTAGTGATAGGCGGTGCATCCACTCTCTATGGTCATTTCCGGTGCCACCATTTTGTGAGGGCAGAAATGGCCCCGTGTGGGTGAGGCCCCTTCCCAGTCCCTCCCAGTTCATCCCAGTCCCTCCCAGTTCATCCCAGTTCCCTCTTCACCAACATTATCTCACTCCCACTCCCTTTGTGCATGGAATTTGGGCATTTGGGGTGGGAAAAAATGGGGAAAAATCTGGGAAAAAAGGGGGTAAAAGGAGGAGGACCAACCATAGAGTCG